GCGGGGTCGATCCGACCCCTTTGGCCCGCCTCTTCAACATGCTACTAGGCCACTTCCCTGAGCCTGAGCTTTATCATAACCTTGCTTAAAGCTATTTTGGATTCCTGCCTCCACTACATCGCTCCCAAACTATTCACTTACTGACTATCTGTGGCTGAAGAAATACTTCCTACATCCCTGTGATTCATCTGTGTCTTCGCTTTCCAACTGTGTCCCCTTGTTCTGTGTCCAATCCCCTGGAACATCCTGTCTTTGTCCACTGGTAAATTCCTCTCAGTATTTTGTATTCTTATCATGTCCCCCCATCTCTCCTTCCTCCATTTCGTAAATTATTTCCCCTTTAACCTCTCCCTCGTAGGACATACCTCTTAGCTCTGGACTAGTCTTGTTGAAAACCTTTGCACTTTCTGTGTGTGTGTGTTGTGTTGTGTGTGTGTTGTGTGTGTGTGTGTGTTTTGTGGTTGTGTGTGTGTGTGTTGTGTGTGTGTGGGTATGTGTGTGTGTGTGTGTTTGTTGTGTTGTGTGTGTTGTTTTGTGTGGTGTGTGTGTGTGTGTGTGTGTGTGTGTGTGTGTGTGTGTGTGTGTTTGTGTTGTATAGTGTCTATATGTGTGTGTGTGATGTGTGTAAGTGTGTGTGTGTGTATTGTGTGTGTGTGTATATGTGTGTGGGGTGTATATGTGTGTGTGGTGTAGTGTGTGTGTGTGTGTGTTATTCCATTTTGTCCTAGGCCATGTCGATTAGACATAGGCCTGTATTTATGTTTCCTGTGTGTGTGTGTGTGGTGTGTGTCTAGTTGTAATTACCTAGTCGAGTGGTGGTCGGCTCTGCTGTGTGTGGGGTTTGTGTGTGTTCTCTTTAGTTGTACTCACCTAGTTGAGGTTGCGGGGTCGAGTCCGACTCCGGGCCCCCTCTTCACTGATCGCTACTAGGCCACTCTCCCTGAGCCGTGAGCTTTATCTACCTCTGCTTAAAGCATGTATGGACCCTGCTCCACTACATCGCTTCCCAAACTTTTCCCACTTACTGACTACTCTGTGGCTGAAGAAATTACTTCCTAACATCCCTGTGATTCATCTGTGTCTCAACTTCCAACGTGTCCCCTTGTTACTGTGTCCATCTCGGGAACATCCTGTTTTTGTCCACCTTGTCAATTCCTCTCATTTTTGTATGTCGTTATCATGTCCCCCATCTCTCCTCCTCCTCAGTGTCGTAGGCTGATTCCCTTAACTCTCCCTAGTGGACATACCTCTTAGCTCTGGGACTAGTCTGTTGCAAACCTTTGCACTTTCTGTGTGTGTTGTTTTGTTGTGTGTGTGTGTGTGTGTGTGTGTGTGGTTGTGTGTGTGTTGTGTGTGTGTGGGGTGTGTGTGTGTGTGTGGTGTGTGTGTGTGTATGGTGTGTACTCACCTTTTTTGTACCACCTATTTGTGGTTGCGGGGTCGAGTCACAGCTCCTGGCCCCGCCTCTTCCTGTTTGCTACAAAGGCCCTCACTCTCCCTGCCCATGAGCTATATCAAAACCTCCCCTTAAAACTATGTATGGTTCCTGCCTCCACCACATCACTTCTAGGCTTTTATCCATGCTGACTACTCTATGACTGAAGAAATATTTCCCTAACATCCCTTTGATTCATCTGAGTCTTCAACTTCCCATTGTGACCTCTGTGTCTGTGTCCCATCTCTGGAAAATCCTGTCTTTGTCCACCTGTCTATTCCCGCAGTATTTTATATGTCGTTATCATGTCTCCCCCTGACCCTCCTGCCTCCAGTGTCGTCAGGCCGTTTTTCCCTAACCTTTCTTCATAGGACAATCCCGTAGCTCTGGGACTAGTCTTGTTGCAAACCTTGCACTTTCTCAAATTTCTTGACGTGCTTGCTAGGTGTGTTTTCCAAACTGGTGCTGCATACTCCAGTATGGGCCTGACGTAGATGGTGTACAGAGTCTTAAACAAATTTCCTTACTGAGGTATGGGAACGCTATCGTAGGTTTGCCAGGCGCCCTATGCTGCAGCAGTTATTGATTGATGTGCCCCTCAGGAGATATCTTCGGTTTATACTCACCCCAGATCTTTTCCCTTTTAGTGAGGTTTGCAGTCTTTGGCCATCTAAACTATATGTGTCTGCGGTCTTCTTTGCCCTTCCCCAATCTTCATGACTTTGCATTTGGAGGGTTAAATTCTGGGAGCCATGCTGGACCCGGCTGAAGCCCGTCCAGATTCTTTGTATCCTGCCTGATCCTCGTCCGTTTCGATTCTTTTTCATAAATTCCACGTCTGCAACAAGGACACTTTTGAGCTTCCCTTGTTATGTCGTTCAAAGTATACCAAGAACAGCACAGTCCTAGGACTGACCCTGTGGAACCCCGCTTGTCACAGCCCCACTCCCGACACTCGTCCGCGTACCATGACTCGTTGTTTCCTCCCTGTCAGATATTCCTATCCCATTCATGCCTTTCCTGTTATGTTGCTGGTCCTCTAGCTTTGCAGTAACCTCTTTTGAGGAACTGTGTCGAAAAGCCTTCTTGCTCCAAAAATACGCAGTCGATCCACCCCTCTCTCTCTTGTCTTACTTCTGTCACCTTGTCCCCTAAAACCTAGTAGGTTTGTGACACGGATTTTCTTCCCTGAAACCGTGCTGGTTGTCAAATTTTACACTTGTTTCTTTCAGGTTTCCCACCACTCTCTCCTGAGATCTTTTCCCCTGCCTTTCATACTATACACTTAGAGATACAGGTCTGTAGTTTAGTGCTCATGTCTGTCTCCCTTTTTAAAAATTGGGACTACATTTGCTTTTCCATACTCAGGGGAGTTGCCCAGTTTCAATGATGTGTTGAAGATCTTTGGTTTTAAAGGTCACACATTTTTCTGCTCCTCTTTAGGACCCATGGAGAGATGTTGTCTGGTCCCACCCCTTTGAGGTGTCAAGTTCGCATAGCAGCTTCTTCACCTCTCCTTGGTTAATGTACCTTCTCAGCACTTGCTTTTGGGGTGCCCCCTGTTCTGATTTCTTGGAGTCCCACTGGTTATCCACTTAAATCCTCTTAAATCTTGTGTTGACTTTCCCGACATACCTCTCGGTCGTTTCTTGGATTCCTCCATCACCCTTCCTCAGTCTGATTACCTTCCTTGATTTGTTTCCTCCTGATGTGGCTGTACACAGCTTGGGTCAGTCTTTACTTTGATTTCATGTCATTTCATAATTGTCTCTGAGCTCCCTTTATCTTTGCAAAATTCGTTTCTGGCTCTTTTGGGTGATTCTTTATTTTCCTGAGTTCTTGTCTTCTGACCTTTTCCATTCTCTATTACACCTATTTTTCCTCCCTACCCTTTGGGGGGAACAAAGGGTCGTTCTGTTTTTCCCATTATTTCGTTTCCCTTGGGAACAAATTTCCTCTGCCCCTTGCATTTTGTTGCTACTAGTCCTCATTTTTTGTACTGGGTTTTCCCCGTCATTCCCCCTACCACGAATGTTTGAAGGAATTCCCATGCCGATAGTTTCCCCCCTTTTTAGTTTGGGTTTTTCCCCGCCCATTCCGCTACTCTCCCCCTTGGAGCTAACTATGAGTCGAAGCCAAAACCCCCAACATGTGTGTGTGTGTGTTTGTGTGGTGGTGTGGTGGTTGTTTGTGTATGTTTATTGTCAATGTGTGGTGGAATGTTGATATTGGTGTGTGTTATATTTGTGTGTGTATTATGTGTTGGGGTATAAATTGTTGTTTGGGGTATGTGTGTGGTTGTGTGTTTGTTTCCATTTTTTCCAGGGACTGTCATTAGACCTGGCCCGTAGTATATCTTTCCTGGTGTGGGGTTGGGGGTAAATCACCAGTTGAGGTTTCAGGGGGTTTATCTGACTCCCCGCCCCCGCCTTTCACTGATCGCTAATAGGTCACCTCCCTGAACCGTGAGTTTAAACATACCTCTGCTTAAAGCTATTATGGATCCTGCCCCCCACATCGCTTCCAAAACTATTCACTTACTGATACTCTGTGTTGAAGAAATACTTTTTTAACATCCCTGTGATCATCTGTGTCTTAACTTTTCCCAAATGTTCCCCCCTTTTTACTGTGTCCAACTCTGACTCTGTCTTTGTCCCCTTTCAAATTTCCCCTTTAGTATTTTTTAGTCATTTCTGTCCCCCCCCCCCCTCCCTTTCCCAGTGTCGTCGGGGATTTCCCTTAACCCTCCTGTAGGACATACCTCTTTTCTCGGACTATCTTGCTGCAAACCTTCCATTTCTCTAGTTTCTTTACGTCTGGCTAGGGGGGTTCCAAAGGTGCCCATACTCCAATATGGGCCCAACGTACTGGTGTACATGTGTGTGTGCATGTGTGTGTGGTGTGTGTATGTGTGTGCATATGTGTGTGTGTGTTGTGTGTGTCGTGTGTGTGTGTGTGTGGTGTTGTGTGTGTGTGGTGTGTGCGTGTGTGGTGTGTGCGTGTTGTGTGCGTGTGTGTGTGTGTGTGTGTGTGTGTGTGTGTGTGTGTGTGTGTGGTGTGTGTGTGTGTGTGTGTGTGTGTGTGTGTGTGCCATGTGTGTGTGTGTGTGTGCATGTGTGTGTGTGTGTGCATGTGTGTGTGTGTGTGCATGTGTGTGTGTGTGTGCATGTGTGTGTGTTTTGCATGTGTGTGTGTGTGTGCATGTGTGTGTGTGCATGTGTGTACATGGGCATGCGAGTAACATTTGGGTATCTTTATTCTGACTGAACAGTCAAATCTAGAGAAGAATGGGTGGCTGATGTGAAAGAGTCTGTGGTAATCAGTCCCTCAGCCTGGAGTCAGTGTACTATTCAATCCATCAATCTTGACAAAAGTACAGCATGTGAACGGAGAAGGGGTACACTGCAGATGGATGAGGTGAAGTAGCACCAGTGGAAAAATCCACTAGTGGCAGTAGGTCGTATCTCTAGTAGTTAGGCTAGCTTTGAAGAATTTCCTGCTTCAAAATTTGTCACAAAAAGTTGAGTGAGACTGTATAATAAAAACGGCTCAATTTATACTGAACCTGTAATATGTCTCTTCCATTCCGGCACTTCTTGTTGCTGAGATGGCAAACCACGAGACATAGCTGGGTCATTTCGCTGAGTTTCAGGTAGTGGATCATTCCAATTTTGGCCAAGACTGGATGGCTGTGAATCCATTTCACTCTCTCTCTGAGCCATCTTTATTTCTCTACGCTCTTTTGCAAGAGCACTCTGCATCATTGCTGCTTGAGCTAATGAGCCATCCGGGTTCTTCATGATCCGCACTGGACTAAGTTCCTCCCTCACCCTGCCATAGCCCCGCAAGAAGGCAGGTTCTTCTTCTACAAGTTCAATCTCTACATCTTCTTCATCATCATCTTCACCACCCATCACTCCAAGCTCCTCATCAAAGTCTGGCATTTCTGATTTACTGATGCAGCTGGCAGCCATCATCTGCTTTAGTTCCCATCTTTCAGGTGAAGAAATTCGGTTAACTCGCTTGTATGTTGCTAGATCCTCTTCATCAGTACCTGAGATCAGAAATAAATACAGCTTATAAAAGTAACACAAAATTAGATAGAGAGAAATCAATTAACATTAGACTACCATATATAGAATAATTATTTCCCCAAAATATACATTAAAGATACAACAGTAGGGTAAGAGGATAATTCATAGTTACGCATGTGCAGAAAGTTTGGTCATATAGAAAGAATGCAGCAAGATAGGTTGATTAATAAGATGTATAATCTGGGGTGGATAGCAGAACTGGCCCCTGTATAAGTGAGGCACATCAATATTTTAAAAAAGTTTACCTTTAGTCAGTTCCATGAGGGACATGGGTCTATCTGGGTTTCTCATAGCTTCTTCCTCCTGGCTGTTGCTTCCCAGAGGAGCAACATGAGGGTTCAGGTCCTCACCAGTTTCTTGGTCCACATCCTTCATAGACAGAGAAGTTTTCTGACCAGTAAATGATAGCACCTTCACCTGGATATACAAAATATTTTATTTTTACATTTTGATGAATACAGTTTACTAAACTAGATGTCTCTCAATCAGTAGTAATTTCTGTGGTTGCTGAATAAAACGGCCCTCTTTCAGTCAGCAGTAGAATGACTGTTCCCTAAACTGTCCATCTCTTAATAGTAATTACAGTGATTGTTCACTAAACTGAATCACCTTTGTCACTAGTACTGATAGTGCAACTGTTTAATATATAAAAAATGTGAAAACATTACATTATTAAATGATGAAAATTTTGATTCCATAGTGTTTTACACTGTATATCAAAGAACACTAAAAAACTGTGAAAGACACACCTTTACTTTTTGTCCTCTCATAACTACATCAGACACATTAGTAACACGACCCTCTTGTCGCAGCTGTGAAATATGTACAAGACCTTCAAGCCTGCGCCGTAAGCCTTCTAGCTGCACAAAGCAGCCAAAATTCAAGATGTTTGTCACTTTACCCTCATATACCTGCCAAAATATAAAAAAATTAACAATTCTTTATTAAATGGCTAAGTATTAATGCAAAAAATAATGACACAATAATTGAAAAATATACTTTATGAAATACATACTTATAAACAGAATATTTACTAGGCTCATCCCTTCTAAACAAAGATAAATTATTCAGGACATGACAACTAGGTAGTGCACTGACACTTCCATGGAAACAAAAAAAAAAAAAGTTATCCATGGAAGCAAAGAGGTAAATGTGAGAGTATAGTGGTACCAACACTCTTACATGAATGTGAAGCATGGGTTATGAATGTTGCAGCAGTGGAATATTGCTGGAGGTGGTGGAGATGTCGTGTCCGAGGTCAATATGCAGTGTGACTATTATGTAGAGATTTCGTACTTAGGAGATGAGGTGTGGCATTATGAAAAACACTCTCCAGAGCACTGAGGAAGGTTTGATGAGGTGCTTTGGACACCGAAAGAGGATGGAGAAAAATAGGATGACTTGGAGGGTGCACAAGTCTAAAGTGGAGGGAAGGCTGGGTAGGAGTCATCCCAGGAAAGGCTGGAGGGAAAGGGATAAATGAGGGTTTTCTATGCCAGGGGTCTGGACATCCAACCGGCATGTGTGAGTATTAGATAGGAGCGAGTGAAGGCAATTGGATTTTATTTGACTTTCTGTTGGAGTGTGAGCAAGGTATGTTAACATTTATGAAGGGATTCAGGGAAACCAGTTAGCCAGACTTGAGTCCTGGAGGTGGGAAATACAGTGCCTGCACTCTGAAGGAGGAATGGGGATATTTATAGTTTAGAGAAGCATCTGAAACGTAGTATACTGGCATGTCTCTGACAAGACAGTGATGTTTAAAGGGGTTTCTTTTTTTAGGTCACTCTAAATTTTTGGGAGGAGATTTCCCAATGTGTTAAAAAAAATAAGAGAATAAACTTACCTTCCTAAAACAGGATTTTCATTCGGGGGACGATTAAAAAACTTCCCCGATTGGGTCATGCGATTCCCATTTAGGGGCTTTTTCCCCACTCTTGCTCCGCTATGTTGCTATGTTTGTCCTGATTCTAGCCTTTTTTTCCTTTTCTTTTTCTGTTCGCTCCTTCGAAACGGGAGTTCCCGTCTCGATTAGAATCCTACCATAAACCCTTTGTTCTTCTTTCCCCATCTTTGCTACTACTGCCCATTTCTTCTCCCCTCTATCCCCGCTTTTTGGGCTACGGTTTTCTTTCTTTCTTTTTGGCTTGACTGCGATTTTCTTCTATTTTTGTGCTTCTCCTTTGGGTTCTGAATAGGGTTTTTGTTTTTATCTCTGTCCCCTTTCTCATTCTCTTACTGTTAGCTTCTCTTTCTGTCCTGGACCCTTTATCTCCTCCCTTTTGTTCTTGCCCTACCCTTTTTGGCTGTTTATTTTGTTTTGATGGAGCCTTGGGGTTCTAAGAAGGCCATGGGGCATTTCCTCACCTTCAGGGTCCTTTTAAATTTTTTGTCCCCTTTTCTCCCATCTTTAACACTTCTTTCTCTTTCTTTTCTTTTTCTCCTTTTGTCCCTTTCCCCCCTTTTTTGTCTTGCTTTTATATTTTCAAGATTCTCTTCCTTTATTTCACTTGGGTTTAAATTCATCACCCAGCATATGAATAACCTTTGGTCATTAGCAAAGTAAGAAAGGAAATAGTGCTTTTCGTTTCCTTTTTTTTGAAAAATTGGTTTCCTCCCCTTTTTAAATTTTTCACTAGCAGGGAATTTTCTGTTAGTGAAGGCCCCGTGCGGGGCATGCCACAGGGTTTCAAAAAAAACGAGTTGAAGTTAAAAATTAATATATACGAAGTTTTTAAACATGGAATGTCAAAAAATTTTCAGAATTAATTACTTAGGTTTTACATATATAAGTCAAATATTTTACAGACAAGTTTGAAAAGAAAATTTTTCAAAAGAAAGATAACTGTTAATTTTACATTTTGAAATATTTTTTCTACTATTACCAAAAAACCCCCCCACAGGGGAAGAAAGCTTTCAATGCATTTCTCCCATCTGACCATTTACAAACACACTAACACAAGAGTGAGAGCATATAACTAGGAAGGGGGGGGCAATGTTCACCAAAAGGGAGAAAAAAATGTAAAGGATAGTAAGACTGGTGTGGAAGTGGGGAGTAGAAATGGGAGGTATTTGAAAAAGGGGAAAAGGGGGGCGAAGAGTGAATGGGGGCAATAGTAATGGTAGTGCAACGTAGTAGAAATGGAGGGGTAGTCGTATAAAATGGGGGCAGTCTGAGGAAAAAAAAGGGAACCACAAAGACAAGGGCCCCAAGGGGGAGGACAGAAACACAGGGGAAGGGGGGAAGGAACAGAAGGGCAGAACACACAAAAAAAAGGAAAAACAAAGAAAAAAAAAAAATAGGAAAATAGAGGGGGGTAGGGAAATAGGGGGGGAAAAAATCAGGTCAAGTCCCAAATTTTTGAATTTGGAACTTTTACAATGTAAGAGAAAAGGGGGTATCAACAGAGACAAAGCCCGGGCTAATACTCATACAAGGGAAAATTAATACAGGGATGCTTCAAAAAGACATGACGGGAAAGGCTAGAAGGGGGTAGTTTTAGTTATAGCAGGGGCCATAATATCCTGTGATCCTAACTGACAGAAAAGGGGCATTACTGGTGTAAAAAGCCTCCCCTTTTTTGTTTCTTTGAGTTTTCAGAAAAGAGGGCCAGTCTTACAAAGACTGAAATACAAAGCGCTAAAAGAGTGAACCAGGGGAATTTAAAAGGGGGGAGGAGGGTACAAATTATATTACTGTAAAGGGGTGTTATTTTGGCGAAAGTAAGTTTGATTTTAAAGGGAAGGGAGAAGTTTTGAGATAAAAAACTGGGGGCCTTTAGCTCTCCTGCAGTGCCTTTTTATTTCCTTAGACTGCCCCCACTTCTACTATATATACTGCCCCCATTTCTATTAATTGCTATTCCATTTTGTTGCCTCTTTCAGCCCCCTTTCTCTTTTGTTCCACTAAAATACCTCATTCTTTTACTACCACTATTATTCTAAAAACTACTTCCACTACCGCCTTACCACATCCTTTAGCCCAAAGGTTCCCCCGTAATATATATAGGTTCCCTCCTCTTTGTTAGTGATTTTGTAAATGGTCCAATTTAGATCGAAACATTCCCAAAAGTTCTCTCTCCTATGTGTGGGTTTAGTGTATTGTTCCATTTACATACTGTGCCTTTTTTTTTCTTTATCACGCTATTCACTACACTGTGAGTACAGTGTTTTTTAAAGAATTTTATACCAAATGTGTTAAGGTTCCGGGGGGTTTATCATTTAGGCTAAATCTCAACCGGGGCCACAAAAAAATAGAAAAGAAATACTATACAAAAAGAAATCACGGGAAATTTTAAGGTAAGATAACTAAATGTAAGCAGAGTTTTGAAACTTTATTCCATATTTTTTTTCCTGGACGGGAAAAGGGCCCGCAATCTGCCAGTGTACAACATGGTAAAAAGGTAGCCCCTACCAGAGTGGTGACCTCTCCCCAACTATACCATTTATGTTTCACACTCAAATCCAAAAATGGTAGTATTTTCCTGGGGGGGTTCCTATCTCATCCTAACCCATTTTACAGTCTGTCTTTTTCACACAAAATGACCAACGTATCCCTTCCAGATATTGGTTTTTGCCAATTTAAAATCTATGACGCTTAAAATTTAGGTAAAGGCTATAAATGAACTAAATTAATTTACATAACTAAAATTTTTTTATAAACCTCGAAGTCCATTTTACAGATTTGAGAATCACGGGGACAACAATACAAGACACCATATTACGTATTGCATTACTTATTTATTACTTATACACTTAAAATTAAAGTTATTCCCCAAAAAAATTTTCTTGGGATGGCAAAAAACTTTAGGAGAAGGCTATTTAAAAAAAAAAGCAAAAAAAGCAGCAACAGTGTACAAAAAACTGAAAATTTGAACTAAGCTAATATTAACTCAAAAAAAAGTACTGTAAAAAATTTTGTTCTACTTTACCGCAAATGATCCCCCCTTTTTCTTCTAGCCCTTTTTAAAACTTTAAAGAGTTTGCTTTTCTCAGCCGAGAGTGAAATCCCTGGAATGTTTTAAAAAATTAAAACCATTAAAAACACGTACAGTAAAAAGTTATTTTGTACTTTTTACATCCCTAATAAGGAGACACAAGAATGTTCTAAAATTATTTTAAAAAAAAATTGATAACACATCAACAAATTTAATTGAAAAAAAAGATTTTTATATTATTTGAATTTATTTTAAAAAAAATTCAAATTACAATTAACTTTTGTTTTTTGTTTTTTTTTTTTACATACAACACCAAATACTGTACTGATATTTGTATTTGAAGAGAAATTGTGAAACTGATCGGTTGTTAAGTAACCCATGTTCAAATGACAAATTCAAATTGTTTTAAAAAAGGGAAGGGTGTTGAGATCAAAGTCCCCCAAGAATAAAAAATAAAAAGCAACTTTTCATAAAGAAAAAACAAAAAAATAGAAGACCTAGAAAAATAAGTCAGAAAACCCTATCTTTTAAAGAACCCAAAAGGGGCAAAGCAACAAATCCAGGAAAATGGGGGTTGGGTTTTTGAAAAACCTCATACCAAGCAAAGTATTCAATCACTTGGTTTTATTTTTTATAATATTGTTTTGTGGTCACCACTTGTGTAAAGGGCATAGATAAAAAAAAGGAAAATTAAAAAGGGTTTTCTGCTATTTCCTGAACAAAAAAAAAAAATTTAAAATTTAACGTAAATGCCACTAAACCTTGAAATGCACTGTGCACGGGCACCCCCTTACATAACCCCCATATTTCACGGTTGAAGATTTGTTTTTTTTCAATGGTTGGGCAGGGATGTAACGGGGAGATACACCCCACCCCAACTCCAAACTTTAGCCCCTGCCCTGCCCTTTAATTTATGGGGACAAGGGGGGGTTTTTGAAAATTTTAGGGAAAAAAAAAATCATGCATCAAATAAGCCGCGAAATAGGTATACGGGTACCTCAGGATTAACAGTAAAACCAAAAAATTATGTAAGTGCTTTTGTAAGTGTTTTTCTGGGGTCTGAAACGATTAACTAAATTATTTTTTCCTCATGGAATAAAAATTTATTTTAGATCAGATTTATCAGCCCTTTGGAACAAAATAAATTCATATCTCGAGGGGACCACTGTAAATTGTTAGGGGTTTAGAAATATGAGAAGAAATAAAATAAACCCCTGCAAAGCAAGGGTGCCCAGGACATTAAAAAAAAAAATTTGTGAACATTTGTTGTCCAAAGATTTTAAAATTTAATTTGTACCCGAGATATCACACAGAAAAAATGCCCAAAAAAAATGTAAGGTTTTTTTTAAATTTAAATGGATAAATTTTTTAAAAGATGGTAATAATGGGAGAAACAGGGAAATGGGTTTAAAGAATTAATACCCGGCAGTATTACTATCCTGCCCCCCCCTCCCCAACCCCTTAATGACAACTAAAAATGATGGAAAAAGTAGGATAACGGGGTGGTAAATATGGAAGATTCTTTTGCCCTTTCCGGAGGGGAAGATGAGAATGACCTTAAGGATACAGCATGTTTGGTAGCTTTTTGAAAAGTGGTAGTGGTTTTGTATATAAAATTTTTTTTACAATGTTCAGCCAAGGGCGGAATCTTTGAAGAATGCTGTTAGTTTATTTTTTATTGAAGGGGGCCCTTTTAAAGTAAGCCCAAATGAAAAACTTCCAGTGTCCAGAGTTCAAATATTGTCAAACTGGGCAATGAAATAAGCCAGAAGGGTTTCAAAAAAAAAAATGGCCCTTGCATCAAAACATTATTTTTTTTTTAATCTGGGGTGCTAAATCCGAATCATTTAAAAACCTAGGGAAATGGGAAGCACTCAGGTTCAATTAGAAGAGGGGAAAATCAATCCATTTTTTGAATCAAGAGTCTTCTTAAACAAAGCCCCCCTAGAAAGGGGTTCACTGAAAGATTTAAAGTTTAATACCAAATGCAAAAGCACATTTTTTAACTTTATTGGGGATCCCAGGTTAAATATAAATAAAGCCTTTGTGCCCAAAAAATTTTCCCCCAAGACCCTGTTGATTTTTTTTTATGTTATAAATGCCCAAAGCAAAAAAAATATTTTTTCTAATCAGAAACTGGCTTTAAAGAAGAACAGATTCCCCCAGGTTTTAAAATTATGACACTGAACCAGTGTAAGGGGGACTAAAGCCCAAACCGAAAAATTTTATGCGGGTGAATTTTCAATTTTCCTTATTGTGTTGCGCAAAATGAAAACATTTTTTCAGTTCTTGACGAAAACAAATATAACAAAATTTTTTAAACATCTCACCCACACCCTTTTCATTTAGCCCAAGTGGTTTTTATCAACACAAACTTGGCCTAGTGAAAGTCTCTCAAGTTTTGAAGATCCCCCCATTGCCCCTTCTCCTCGTGGGAATTGCGCTTACCTTTAAATTTCTCTTCCCTTTCACGATAAAGTTGGGTATACAGCTTACCTCCCCTTTGATTAAAATCCGACAATCGTAGAAAAAAAAAAAAAAAATTTTCCAAACAAAAATGTATACTTTTATCATATCCAAAAGGCCAGGGAGTAATAAGTAAGACACAAAGAATAATTGTTTTCTTTTTTCTACAGACACCCGCATGCAAGCGTATAATTTAATAGATCCTACCCTGGGGGGTAAATATTTTGTGCGGAAAAGAATATATTTTATAATTAGCTGTAACCCCCTAAAACCCCTTTGGGTTGCTTTTTGGGATGGAACAATAAATTGACCCAAGGGAGGGAAAAATAAACCCGGATCAAAGCCCCCCCACCCCAAACAAGGATTCCTTAAGCCCCTTTTTTTGTCAGATTTATACAAAATTCCTTCTCAAATTAACAGATATTTTTCCCCGAACTGGATCTCTTAGACTGAAAAAAGCCTGTTATAGGGGGAAAGTTCCCAATGACCTTTTAATAAGTGTCTTTGGTATTCCCCAGTTTTACTCTTTCAATTAAAACTTCCCTCCCCCAACACTATTTCGTTTCTAAAAATTTGCTTACTTTAATGGAAATAATACAATGTCGAATTTTGGGGTTTTCCTAAGTTTTACAATACGTTGCTGGATGATAATTGACTTATGTGAAATTTTACCCAAAAAATTACCTACGTTTTGTTGGGGGTTTTCGGGTCCCCCAAAATTGACGCTTTATTGGTTAATTCCGAATTCGGGGGGAAAAAAATGCCCCCATCTGTCAGGAAAGAGAAAAAAAAAGTTTTTTTAAAAATAAAAAAATTAAAAAAATAATAATAATAATAAAAAATAAAAATAATAATAATAAAATAATAAAAATAATAAAAATAATAATAATAATAAAAATAATAATAAAAATAAAAATAAAAATGACAATAATGATAACATCTTTATTTATACAAGTATATTATGCTTATCATTTCGGGCAAATTAAGTCAATGTTGACCCCAGGATGCGACCCCCACCAGTCCACTAACACCCAGGTACCCATTTTACACTGATGGGTGAACATGGACAGCAGGTGTCTTATGGAAACACGTCCTAATGTTTTCACCCGTACCGGGGATCGACCCCTGGACCTCAGTGCGCTACCAATCGAGCTACGTTACACCGTGCAAGAGAACACGAGAACATTAAATCTCCAACTGAGATCAAGTGAACCTCAGTCCTAAACCCAGGAAGAGCCAGACGTCTTACGTCTGGAGCTAACACGTCTCTTCTCCATTAATACCACAGCTAAAGTCAATAATAATAATAATAATATATTATGAAAATGGTATACAATACCGAGAAACTGATAATTAAGACACAGTAGCCTCAAATACAAAAGTGATTAAATATTCAGAAAGCAGAAGCAGTGGAGAGATAAAGATATGAACAGTCCCACTTTAATCTTAAGGGACTGATCACCTCGAAAACTACCTCAAGGTTGATGGACTGATCACATCATATTTACCTCGCCACCACTTCTGCTGTCTCTATATTTAGCTAGCCACCTCTGTATTTAAGTCTATTATGTAAGCGAAATAAAGATACCCATGTGTCCCTTCCAGAGTTATGTAGATAAATAATTAACAGAACCGACAGGATGATGAAATAAGACACATGTGCAACACCTACCTGGAGGGTGTTTTGGGGGTTAGCGCCCCTTGCAAAAAGTGGATAATTTTAGTGTTAGTATAATATGTTTATTATGCACCCCATCCCCATCCTGTGGGAGGTAGTCAAAAGATTACAGAGGTACATATAGGTCCAGGGACTGGATACAACCTCAAGATTTCAGGGGAAAAAATCAGGCAATCACTTAAGGGTTCCCTTTCCAGAGTAGCTCATAAGGTGACACTCACCTCTATTGAATCATCTGTAAATACCTCTTTCTTTATACCAAAGAGATGTTTTAGTCTACTGTTCATTCATTTAGGGTCATTCATGTTTGATCTCAATTCTCTACGAGGCATATACGTAGCTTGGCCAACTTGTATAATGTTTTACCAAATCTCTGGTCCGTTATGAGGTCCATTGCTAGGTCACTGGTTATCTTATGTATTGTGATCTTGGCACCTTGTGCCTCAAGGCACGCATTTGAAGTAGAGTGCGGCATTAGTTGATAATGGAGTTAAATATTAGTTTTAAAGATCTAAAGGAAATAAGAAGAGGCAAGCATTCATAAGTCATCATATGGAAACTACTATATATCCAAATTTCGTCAATAAAAATTGTAAATTAGGACATACAGTGTCCAAGCCTAAATGAAATCGTTCGAGGAGCCCAGTATAATAAAATACACAAGAACAGTAAGTTTGAAGTCACTCAAAAAAAAAAAAAAAAAAAAATCATCACGTTATGACCATGGAAGGCATGAAGCTAATTAAATGTAGAACTCATTTTTCAATTTTCCCCCCTCCCTAAAATTAAGCTAACTGGGTAAAAATCAATCCATTTTTTTTAGAAAGTAAAGGAGTAAGTTTCATGAGTTTTATGTTCGCCTAGTTACATCACATATAAATATTTCAGATAAGTACTGAGGGCGCACAGATGTTACAAGCATATAAGGAACATTAAGTTTATTTAACCTCGGATAACCAAATAAAGTCAAACACTGTGACTTATTTCTGATAGGAAGATACTGTACATTCTCTAATTATTTCACAGAAACCAATTTGATTAATAAAATTGGTACATGATAACTTACACAACCTAACATCAAGATATTGTTTCCTTTGAGGGAAACCCATCAACACTAAAAGTTAAGCTGATCAAAAAATGTACTTTCCAGTTATTGCAACTTTAAGTTGAAAGGTATAAATTTAGTTATTGAAGTTGAGCATCAAGACTCGGGTGAAGGTGTTCACACGGGCCTCAGGCCGTCATTATCCTTCTATTTAACAATAATATTAAGAGTGGAGGCCACGTGAAGCTCGCTGGGATGATCACTAGTAAGAAGACCGTAGAACTCTCTCTCAGGCACCTCAAAGATCAAAATTTCGGCAAGATCCCGGAAGTCCAAAATGAGGTATTAATAAGTACTTACTGATGTAAAACAAAACATGTCGAACCGTCGGCTTTTTCCTTATTAAATTGTTGAACCTGCATATTTTGTTAAGTTGTTTCATGTTCTGGAGATGTGTAATAGTTTACGGTACCTTCACTCTGCCTACAGACTGCCTTCACTCTGCTTACAGACTGCCGTCACTCTGCCTACAGACTGCTTCACTCTGCTTACAGACTGCCGTCACTCTGCCTACAGACTGCTTCACTCTGCTTACAGACTGCCGTCACTCTGCCTACAGACTGCCTTCACTCTGCCTACAGACTGCCTTCACTCTGCTTACAGACTGCCGTCACTCTGCCTACAGACTGCCTTCACTCTGCTTACAGACTGCCGTCACTCTGCCTACAGACTGCTTCACTCTGCCTACAGACTGCCGTCACTCTGCCTACAGACTGCCTTCACTCTGCTTACAGACTGCCTTCACTCTGCCTACAGACTGCCTTCACTCTGCCTACAGACTGCCTTCACTCTGCTTACAGACTGCCTTCACTCTGCCTACAGACTGCCGTCACTCTGCCTACAGCTGCCTTCACTCTGCCTACAGACTGCCTTCACTCTGCCTACAGACTGCCTTCACTCTGCCTACAGACTGCCTTCACTCTGCCTACAGACTGCCTTCACTCTGCCTACAGACTGCCTTCACTCTGCTTACAGACTGCCTTCACTCTGCCTACAGACTGCCGTCACTCTGCCTACAGACTGCCTTCACTCTGCCTACAGACTGCCTTCACTCTGCCTACAGACTGCCTTCACTCTGCCTACAGACTGCCTTCACTCTGCCTACAGACTGCCTTCACTCTGCCTACAGACTGCCTTCACAGAACTGCTAAATGCCTCAAATGATGTAGTGGAAGTTTTAGCAGTAAAGGTCGAGAACCAAAACCTAGTCATTGTGGTAGTCTACAAGCCTCCGGATGCAACATCCCAGCAATTCCAGGAACAGCTGCTAAAAATTGACCACTGTCTGGAAAATCTTCCAGCTCCTGCACCCAACATCTTGCTCCTGAGGGATTTCAACTTAAGGCACCTAAAATGGAGGAATATAGCAAATAATATTGTTGCAGTAATAACACCAGGAGGCAGCTCTGATGAAAACTCACACTCACATGAGCTTTTAAATCTCTGCACAAAATTCAATTTAAACCAGCAAATAATAGAGCCTACTAGACTGGAATAACACTAGACCTCATCTTCACTAACAATGATGACTGATAAGAAATGTCACCATATCAAAAACAATATACTCAGTCACAACATAATTGAGGTTCAGACATGTATGCGTGGAGCCCAGACCGACATAATGAGACTAGTCACGAGGAGCATTCACCAAATTCAACTTCAATAACAAAAACATAAAGTGGGACCAAGTAAACCAAGTCCTAACCGATATAAGCTGTGAAGATATACTAAGCACACAGACCCCAACTTATGCCTAGAACAGATTAACTTGGTGGCACTCGATGTATGCACAAGGCTATTCCTCTAAGAAAAAGGAGGAGTAATGTAAAATAGAAAGAGACAGGCGCTCCTTTTAAGAGCGACGGAAAAGAATAACAGAGCGGCTAAAAGAGGTCAATATATCTGAAATGCGTAGGGAGACACTGGTCAGAGAAATAGCAAGCATCGAACTCAAGCTAAAGGAATCTTATAGGAGTCAGGAATCGCGGGAAGAACTAAAAGCCATAAATGAAATCGAAAGGAACCCAAAGTATTTCTTCTCCTATGCCAAATCAAAGTCGAGAACAACGTCCAGTATTGGGCCCCTACTTAAACAAGATGGGTCCTACACAGATGACAGCAAGGAAATGAGTGAGCTACTCAAGTCCCAATATGACTCAGTTTTTAGCAAGCCGCTAACCAGACTGAGAGTCGAAGATCAAAATGAATTTTTTATGAGAGAGCCACAAAAATTGGTTAACACAAGCCTATCCGATGTTATCCTGACACCATATGACTTCGAACAGGCGATAAATGACATGCCCATGCACTCTGCCCCAGGGCCAGACTCATGGAACTCCGTGTTCATCAAGAACTGCAAGAAGCCCCTATCACGAGCCTTTTCTATCCTATGGAGAGGGAGCATGGACATGGGGGTCGTCCCACAGTTACTAAAAACAACAGACATAGCCCCACTCCACAAAGGGGGCAGTAAAGCAACAGCAAAGAACTACAGACCGATAGCACTAACATCCCGTATCATAAAAATCTTTGAAAGGGTCCTAAGAAACAAGATCACCACCCATCTAGAAACCCATCAGTTACACAACCCAGGGCAACATGGGTTTAGAACAGGTCGCTCCTGTCTGTCTCAACTATTGGATCACTACGACAAGGTCCTAAATGCACTAGAAGATAAAAAGAATGCAGATGTAATATATACAGACTTTGCAAAAGCCTTCGACAAGTGTGACCATGGCGTAATAGCACACAAAATGCGTGCTAAAGGAATAACAGGAAAAGTCGGTCGATGGATCTATAATTTCCTCACTAACAGAACACAGAGAGTAGTCGTCAACAGAGTAAAGTCCGAGGCAGCTACGGTGAAAAGCTCTGTTCCACAAGGCACAGTACTCGCTCCCATCTTGTTCCTCATCCTCATATCCGACATAGACAAGGATGTCAGCCACAGCACCGTGTCTTCCTTTGCAGATGACACCCGAATCTGCATGACAGTGTCTTCCATTGCAGACACTGCAAGGCTCCAGGCGGACATCAACCGAATCTTTCAGTGGGCTGCAGAAAACAATATGAAGTTCAACGATGAGAAATTTCAATTACTCAGATATGGTAAACACGAGGAAATTAAATCTTCATCAGAGTACAAAACAAATTCTGGCCACAAAATAAAGCGAAACACCAACGTCAAAGACCTGGGAGTGATCATGTCGGAGGACCTCACCTTCAAGGACCATAACATTGTATCAATCGCATCTGCTAGAAAAATGACAGGATGGATAATGAGAACCTTCAAAACTAGGGAGGCCAAGCCCATGATGACACTCTTCAGGTCACTTGTTCTATTTAGGCTGGAATATTGCTGCACACTAACAGCACCTTTCAAGGCAGGTGAAATTGCTGACCTAGAAAATGTACAGAGAACCTTCACGGCGCGCATAACGGAGATAAAACACCTCAATTACTGGGAGCGCTTGAGGTTCCTAACCTGCATTCCCTTGAATGCAGGCGGGAGAGATACATGATTATATACACCTGGAAAATCCTAGAGGGACTAGTACCGAACTTGCACACGAAAATCACTCACTACGAAAGCAAAAGACTTGTCAGATGATGATGCAACATCCCCCCAATGAAAAGCAGGGGTGTCACTAGCACGTTAAAGAGACCATACAATAAGTGTCAGGGGCCCAAGACTGTTCAACTGCTTCCCAGCATACATAAGGGGGATTACCAACAGACCCCTGGCAGTCTTCAAGCTGGCACTGGACAAGCACCTAAAGTCGGTTCCTGACCAGCTGGGCTGTGGCTCATACGTTGGTTTGCGTGCAGCCAGCAGCAACAGCCTGGTTGATCAGGCTCTGATCCACCAGGAGGCCTGGTCACAGACCGGGCCGTGGGGGCGTTGACCCCTGGAATTCTCTCCAGGTAAACTCCAGGTAAACTCTGCCTACAGACTGCTTCACTCTGCCTAAAGACTGCCTTCACTCTGCCTACAGACTGCTTTTACTCTGCCTACAGACTGCTTTTACTCTGCCTATAGACTGCCTTCTCTATGCTTACAGACTTTCATTCAATTGTTGGCTCAGTTGATAAAGTCCTCAACTCTCACACTGAGTGACTGAGGTTCACTTCCCAGCACAGTCTACTGTTGTGGGTGGCATCCTGGGGGACTGGATTAAGGGACCCCACAGAAAATAAGACCAAGAGTCCCTGATGATGCATGGACTTTATAGGGTTATCCTGGGTTGCTAACCTTCTAGGTTAGTGATATGAACTCCATCTTATCTCATCCCAACACTTGTTTAGGAAATCTGCTGCTTCTAATTTTGTTGGACCTCTTCTGCATTTGAAACCATTGATCATGGATTACTGATAAGTGATCCTTTCGGCTGTGTTCTTAGGGATACTGTATTGTCGCTTCTGAAATCATATCTTTCTTTTTGGTCATGAGTAAGTAAGTTTATTTAGGCACAGGTACACATAAGTGCAGTGGACCCTAATCCGTTCCTGAGAGCTATCGAATGTCGAAAATATCGAAAGTCGAATTAATTTTCCCCATAAGAAATAATGGAAATCAAATTAATCCGTGCAAGACACCCAAAAGTATGAAAAAAAAAATTTTACCACATGAAATATTAAGTTTAATGCAATAGAATAATTACAATAACAACAATAACAATAGATTAATAACAATAGAATAATTGACACTTACCTTTAATGAAGATCTGGTGATGATTGATGGGATGGGAGGAGAGGAGAGTGTGGATGGCGTTAGTGTTTAGAAGGGGAATCCCCTTCCATTAGAACTTGAACTGTCAGCCTCACCATGCCTTACCACACTGTGTATGCCACTACGATTCTTAAATCTTTCAAACCAACCTTTGCTGGCCTTAACTTCACTCACATCACCACTAGTTGCAGGCAATTTCTTTACCAAATCATCATGCACTCCGACACATGCACTCCACTTTCGTACTTTGCAATTATCTCTTTCTTCATTTCAATAGTCATTAACACCTTTTTTCTCGAAGCGTTGGCACTAGAAACTTTCTTGGGGCCCATGGTTACTTATTTTGCAGAAACAAGCACCAAAAAACAGTGATAATATGGATAATATGGAATGTACTAAATGTATCCTTAGATGCGCGTGCACTGGCTGGCTTGTAAACACTGGCACACACAGGGCAGTTCAGGCCACACGTGGACACGTCTCGTACGAATCGTATCGAATGTCGGGTTTTCCATCGAATGTCGAGGCAAAATTTTTGCGTTAAAATGCATCG